GGATAAGGACACTCGATAAACGTATCCGATGGTGAGCAACGAAATCGATCCGGGGATTCAAATTCAAGCCTTAAGAACATCTTCAATTACTGAACCTTTTCCAATTAGAGTACAGGCGTCTTAGAGGTGACCATCTAATGGCTTACGGCATCCTAAATACTTCTAGACATCCCGTTAAACACCTGCTTAAACTTAGTTCGAACAGAAGCCTTAGGTATAACACCCAGAAACCGGAGACACGACACAGTAGAACGGACTGTAGACACACCTTCTACTCCTTAAGAGTAGTCAAATGCTGGAATTCTTCGCAAGCTGAGCTAGTCCAAGCGTCTTTCCAAGTGTCCATTAAGTGAAATCTTGACATATTCTTAAGGACTAAGGATAGCATCTTACAACGATTTATTAATGTTTTTCTTTTCCCCCTTTTATCGATAATATACCTACGTTCCTGCCCGGAAGTATTGGTAATCCACTGCTACTAGATACGGAAGCCCGTTAAGCGAAAGGTTCTTCTATTCTTTTCAAAACCATTGGAACAAGATATAGACATTAAAATACTATAAGCATTTGTTAAATATATTGTGGAATTTTATACAATCGGCTATCATCTATGTGTAATATACACCTTTGGAGCGTATCACTTAGCTCGTAAAATCAAAATTATATACTGTACAAACTTGTTACATTATATCGTTGAAATAAAATAGTCATAACAAAATTGTCTACTCAAACATATTAGAATATCTTTCTAGTACATTTTACTTAATCAAATTTAAAGTTCGTTGAAGTTAGACATTAATACCGTTGGGTGCCGGCCAGCTCAGTGGTCTAGCAGTTAAGTGTTCGCGCGCGAGAGACTAATAGATCCTACGTCCGAATCTCGCGAGGTGGGGTCGGCGATGCGCGCTGTTGAAGAGTCTTATACTATGATGAAACGACCGTCCAATGCTTCCAGATTTTCCATGATAATCTAGATTCAATTGACTCATGAATTTAACTATTAAATTTAAAGTGGACTGGCATTGTACATAAACTATTCCTAACTCTATGACTAAAATAATTAGAGTTAATGAATATCATATTAGTTTGTGATTAGTTTCTACTCTTGTTTAACCTTCGTATGTAATTACTTTATCATAACTTCAATTAAGTGTCCTACTTAGTATGCGGGTATTCAACCTCAAATAAAAGCATGATTTGACATTTTATATGTTTATCCACTATCAAGCTAAGCATGATGATTATAAAATTAATCAATGGGAAAATTTTGTCATATTCTAATTTAATAGTTGAATTCACTATGGAAAATCTGGAAGCACTGGATAGTCTTTTCGTCCTAGTATGGAACTTTTCAGCAGTACGCATTATTGATCCTACCTCGCTAGCGCACGAAACTGATAGGTGCTGAGTTCAAATCTCACGGAGCGAGATTGTGGATACACATTGCTGAGAAGTCTCATACCAACACATGTTAGCCGTCTAATGCTCCCAGGTTTTCTATGGTGATCTAGCTTCAATTAACTCATGAATTTAACTATTAAAATTACTATTATATCTACAAAACTCCCTCTCTGATTAACATTATAATTTGTTCAAAACTATTGTTTTGTTGATATAACCAACTAATAAGGGTTACAAGGGGATTATTCTATTCTATAAATAATGGAATGATTAATGATAAATTGTTTTTTGTGTTATACCATAGATATTAGTTTGACCTAAATTTTTGAAAGATTTTTCTTTTTAAATATGATTTCAGATAAGGGAAATTATATGAGATTAACATTTCAATTCGGGGAATCACTCACTTCTTAGAATAAATGACTCATCATTATCCATGGATTCTTGAAAGCAATTTAAGACCTTTAATGCTAATTTATATCTAAATGATTTATGAGCAATTTAGGTGAATAGAGAATAGTTTATAAAGTTGATAATCAACAAAGATGGCTGCAACAAAATTTGACTTTATGGACGAAGGGGAGGAGGAATTCAACTTGATATCTTATAAGTATAGGGGTTGTGAAGATTATTAAGTTTTTGATTGAGATCATGAACCGATTGATGTTAGACCACCGTTGGGAACCTGGAAGCGCTGGACAACCGTTTCGTCCTATTGTGGGGCTCCTCAATAGTGCGCATCCAAGATACCACTCGCAGGATTCGAACCCAGGGCCTTCAGCCTCAAGCGCGGACACTTAACCTATTTTATAGTTATATTGAATTTTTTTATGAATATTGTTTTGTGATAAAGAACTATCCTCATACTGAATTTTTAAGAGTAATATAAATGAATACCAATTACATATTCTCACTGGTTGAGATCATGAGCCTATTGAAGAGAGACCACCATGGAAAACGTGGAAGGACTGGATGACCAACTCGTCCTATTGTGAGACTGCTCAGCTGTGTGCATTCACGATCCCACCTCACGAGATTCTAACCTACGAACAATCAGTCTCGCGCGAGAGCGCTTGATCACTAGACCACTGAGCTGGCCGGCATCCAACGGTGTTAATGTTTGACTTCAACCAATTCACAAAATTGCATGACCATCCATCATTGTGTTCAGTGAATTACCTTCTCACAACAGACCCAGTTGAACTGGTCATGCTAACATAGTATCAGTATTACTTGAATAATGTAAGTCTGATGTAACACCACTTTTAAAGTTCAGTATTGTTAAAGAGTGCAAAGTTCAGGCAGTTCTTCCAAATTGTAATCAAACCTAATATGAACCCGATCTGTTCTGAGGTTTAACATTAAACCAGTATCTTTATGATTTAGTCGTCATGACTAATAAACTATCTGTAGTATTACCAAAAAGAACTGTATTAAAAGTGATATTGTGAATAAACTATATGAAGACTATTCAGTTTAATAGAATCTGTAAAATAAATTTTGAGCAGTCCATTTGAAGTTCTACCTATGCTCGTAGAAGCTTACATCTTGATAAAGTTTTTTTTCTCTGAGCTGGATGGTTTGATCGTGGAACTTTCATCATTCCGTTGAATGACATCATCAGCGCAAACTTCAGATAGAAGTGAAGTGCTCGAATTTCTCCACATATGGTTGGCAGCTTGTCTTGTAGACCTCGATGTTGATTGGTTTCTTTTTGACCTTAAACCTGTCATTGTTTAGAGTTTTTTGTTTTTGGTTGTATCTCCCATTGATTTGGATAAAAATACATTTTTCTCTTGAGTATTTCCATATCAGGATGAAGCCACTTTTGTGTAATCTATCGTTTCCATTAGTTGTTCATATAAACTAATCCTATGAAAAGTCTTTAAATCGAACATCACTTTACCTACTTTAATTCTAATCTTCTCTAGTTTTATTACCATTATCATGTTATTTTTTACTATAAAACATAGACGTTTGAAGTTTTTATTACTTCCATTAGTACATTCATAGTAATTCACTACTGATTGTGTACTTATATAGTTGTAATGAAAAAAAAACAACAACCTTACATTAAGTCACAGTTGACTAACTTACAGTTAATTCACCTGTTAAAACAAATGTAATGTAACATCCCAAAATAGTGGATAGGACACACATTGAGGAAAGCACTCAAATGAACCACAAGGCAAGCCCTCACTTGGAATCCTCAAAGTTAAAGGAAAAAAGGAAGACCAAAGAACACATTGAACCGAGGAATGCAGACAGACATGAGAAGAATGAACAACAGTTGAATAGAACTAGAAAAAAGACCCTGGTTAGAGTGGGTTGGTCGGCGGTCTATGCTCTTTTGGGGGTAATAGGCGTAAGTAAGGTAAAGTAAGTAATTCAAATTAAAAACCCTATGAAAATTTCCGTCAATAATAATAAGTTTAATAAGTAGAGATGCATGATGATTAGCAGTGGAATGCAGAATGAGAGAAGGGTATTGGTTTCAAGTCTCGGATTGAAAATCAACTTTGGTATACAGGCACATCCAGCTGATGAGCCCCAAAAAGGATGAAATGCGTATCCTGAATCTAATTATTTTGCATAGGAGATTAATATTACTGATAGATGATGGTAATTCAATCAAATTTTGATTTTGGTTTTGTGTGTGGTAATAAATACGGGGTAAAATGGAACGAATGTTTAAGAATTTTGTATTTCCAGCTGATACCTAATCTTGACGAAAACCGTCTTAAAGCAATTCGAGCGTCACCTTCATATTAAACATTCATTTCATTCGATTTGGGTGCTTTCCAAATTCTTCCATTTATTACTGCACACGGAAACATAATCAAAATATGATTGGGTTACCATCATCTATCAGTAATATTAATCACTTCTCTATAATAATTGAACTCGAAGGATTTGAGTGTGACCAACTTGATCTCGTGTGTCATTACGGGTATGAGGGCTGATATCACTTCCCGGCTGCCCACACCGTGGAAGGGTATTTCTTGAGGAACCTGAAAAGGAAGTTGGATTAATTTTGACTGGGAGTGACCGCAGAGCTCAAGGGACAACTGCTTGAGGCCGGTCGTGGGAGGTTTTTAATGTGTTAGCTCCGTTCTTCAAAGGGCCTTATCGCCGGAGACGGAAATTCGTTAGGTAAGGTGAGGTGTGACATTTTTAGGGTCAACCTTTTCTAACCCCTTCCTTCCTCGTGAGAAGGCAGCATCGCTGCAGATGCTGGTTGTCCGAGGGGAAATCCTTACTGTTGCAACACCCCTCTACAGTCAGCAGTACGACTTCACCCTCAGATCTTGAGTTGCTGCTTTTAGTCTTACCGTTCTCCAATCGACATGCCTGGCATGGTAGAACCTACAGGAACATATGTTCCAGCCAATATAGCTCGGCTGGGTCATCACGATAGGCAAGCCCGACCACCGCGTCAAGGTAGCAGCTATATTATTTTCAACTACCTGATTACGTAATAATCATTGTATCTAACAAAAAGTATAATTCCTTCGTAGACTCAACTTTCAAAATGTTTTATATTTAAATGATAAGTCAATACTATTCAGTAATAAGTAGTAATCTATAATTTTACTAACCTATAGTTTCATCAAAATAACAATAATTAGGTGATTCTTCTAAATAAACTAATTGATTCTTTGGTATCTCTTTTGATTTGATCATCACCATACGAGGCCATCTACGCTGAAATTGTTCATTGTTTGAGAAATCATTTTGATCATGTTTAGATATGTTATTATTATGACTTTTAATTAATACTAACCAATTCTTTGAATCTTGATTATGATTTGCTGATACAATTGGAAGATTTCTTCTAGTCATATAATAGTTATTTTGATTTGATTTATCATAATTATTAGAATTTATTCTGGTATTAATTCGTTTGAGCATATCTATTCTTGGTTCATATGTTACACGTATAGCTGAATCATATGCTGCTTTCAACATTATACCGACATGACGAAACTCATTAACACGTTGCCAACATGTTCGCATTGAACAAGCTCCACTGACACCATGACATTTACATTTTGTTACACGATTTTTCCATATTAACTAAAATAAATTAAGATAGATTTTTGAATGATTATTTAATATTAGAAGGGGTTATTGTGGATATTATAGTAATTTCAATAGTTCAGATCATGAGTCAATTAAAGATAGACAAACATGAAGAACCTGGAAGCACTGGACGGCAAACTCGTCCTATTGTGAGACTCCTCAGCAATGTACATTCACGATCCCGACCTGTGAGATCCCAATACAGGATCTTTCAGTCTCATGCGCGAACACTTAACCTCTAGACCACTGAGCTGGCCGGCATCCAACGGTGTTAATGTTTAAATTTAAAAAATCCACGGAATTGAGCGACACATCCACCATTGTCTTCAGTGAATTACCTTCTCACAACAGACCCGGTTGAAATTCACTGGTCACTGCTTCTCACTAGAATTCCAAGAGACACCTCAAAAATCCAGTCACTAATGAGTATATGTTGATTAATATCAGAAGAGGGTTCAGTGCTTCCAGGTTTTCTATGGTGGTCTAGCTTCGATTGACTCATGATCTCAACCATTGAGATTATTTAATACTTCGGTTGATCCGGAAAAAAATTTGAAAAATAATTACAACTTTTCAGATCAGTATCAAGAACGTACAAGTATTTATAAATAGTTGTCTACGCAAGATTCTCAACATCCATTGGCCGGATACAATCATTAACAGCCTACTGTGGAAGAGAACAAACCAGCTTCCAGCTCAATAGGAAATTAAGAAAAGACGATGGAAATGGATAGAACATACATTATGGAAATCATCAAACTGTATCACGAGGCAAGCCCTAACTTTGAATCGTGAAAGGAAGTGGAAAAGAGGAAGGCCAGAGAAAACATTACGTCCGGAAATAGATGCCGATATGAAAAGGATGGATAACAACTGGAAAGGATTGTTCAGGACAGGGTTGGATGTAGAATGCTGGTGTGAGATCTATGCTGCTCTGCGACGGGTAACAGGAATAAACTACTATTACTTTAGTCAATATTATATTTTTGGTACAATATAGAATTCTTGGCACAAAGTATTTCAACAAGCTTCCGTTTGTTACTTCTTGGTCGATCCTCACAATAAATATTGAGTGGCCACCAGTTAGAAGTTAGCAATTCAATCAATCGACATCTAAATAATGCATATTGCCAGCAACCATGAGATCTCTGATTGAGCTTTTTGTAAATTATACAACGAAAGATTGTACACTTTTCATAAACGCATTTAATAGTCATAATGATGTATTAAAACTAACAAACAAACAAACTTGTTGAAATGTCTAGATGTCAGGAATAGATAGCCCAGATATTCAAGTAAGCCGTTGGTCATCTATCTAAGTTTATTGTAACCACAATCTATACTTATGGGATTACAGTTGAAACACACTCCTTGAGTAATTAAATATCCTAGATGTTTTGTGTGTATTTCTTCATCTTAGAAGATAATGCTTCATTATAAGACAAATGATTGTAATGGATTATTTCATTGTGAATAATATTCAGTTACATGGTGATTTTTAAAGGTTGATTCCATTTTGTTTCCATTCTTTACTGTTCGATCCTCTTGTCTCTCTACTGCCAGACCTTCTGTTCACGACTAACATCATATACTACTTATGTCAATATAAGTAGCACATACCACATATTCATCACAAATTTTATCCTTCCTTTCACTTATTTAGTAACCACTAGTTAACCTATAATAATGTGTTAAAAGTTAAGTCCATATTCCTTTAAGTCACAGATAATTTGATAGTCATTGTTCGAGTTCCTAATGGAATATGAAACCTTCATTGAAAACCACAAGGTAAATGTATATAGTATTGGAACTAAAAATGTGTATCATCAAAGATGTGTTCAAAGAAGACAAGGTTATTCACATTTGAATTGATTGGTTGGTTTATTATAGAGATGAATTAAAACTTGAATTAGATTAATGAATTGACTTCAGTTCGTTAACTGTTAGAAGTTAATAATCATCTAACAATATGCTTCATACGAAACACAAACTAAAATGAAGAACGTGTCTAGTTACTCCAGTTTTTGCTTTCATCATTCTGTAACTGTACATGATGAATTTCGCTTGAATGAATTAGGTTAATAGTCATTTTATACTTTGAAGATATTAATGATGCATCTCATAAGTAGAAGAATGTAATGGGAAATGTCTTTCTAAATAGAAAAAAAGGTAATTAGGAACAAATAATAGTTCAAACAGCTCGCCCCTTAATGCCCTGGTACGGCCGAGAGTGGGGAGAGTCCGCTCTCCCTCTCCAAATGCTCTCATATGGCCACGCGTATACAGCCTCTGCCGGAGAAGTCCTACTCACTGCCTTCTCGTGGTGGGGGTGTTGTTTACGAAAATAAGAGGACGAAAAGCGAATGTCCGGCGCTTTAACCGGATTCCAAACCAATGGTGCACATGGGCTCCAGTATCCTGCGGGAACAAATGGCGTATGAACCAATTGTTGGTGACCGGCTTCCATGGGACTGCATCTCCTCACGATGCTTCACTGCCTTATGGATCAGACCTTCAGGTCGAAGGCTCGGGGAATGGCCCCCCTAAGATAACCACCTGTTTCGGTTTGGGCACCTGGGCAGTATCACAGCCCTCATACATATCGAATGAGATTTGTGTGGCGCATATGTATTTGATGCCTCCTTGTACCAATATCTATGTGTTTAAATCAATCAATCAATCAATCAATCAAACAGTTCAATCAGCTTAACTTACTCGTCTTCCAGCTTTTTTATTATGTAAATTCATTAATGTTCTGGCTTTAGTTTGAATAATTTGTAATGTCTCCATTTGAAGTTCTCTAGGTGAAAGGATTGTATTGGATTTATTCAATGGTTTTACTAAATGTTTAATATTTTCTGTAACGTTTGGTTTGAAATGTTGGTTAGATGTACTATTATTAAATGAACGTTGAAATCTATGGATTCTTTGTAGTTTTCTTGTATTTTGTTTATTTTGATTATTAAGTCTCATTGATGATAATAATTGAATTCTTTGTTCATGAAGTTCTTGTTCTCTTTGTACTGCAGCATTACGATGTTCTTCATCATTTGCATCTAAAAATAAACGTGCTAAACGCATACCAAATCGTATAGGATCACTACATCCACCCCAAGTGAAAATTCCTTCAGCATCTCTACCTTGACCTTCACGTCGATGTGGATCACAATCGCATGTTCCCATTTGACCTCGACTACATGCTCGTGTTATTGCTTGGACAACACCAGCTGACCATGATGATGAGAGAAATGCAGTTTCTCTGGATCCTAAATGTCCAAAAGTATATCGTTATTAAGTAGTGAGTGAATGCTCACTGAATATTCATGTCAAATATATAGAAATGTGTAATCATCAAGTACTCAAAAACTGAACAGAACTTAATTAGGTCGAAAACGTAGTATGTTTCTTTTTACGAAATAATATATCCTTTACATTTGATTAAATATTCATAATCTTAATATGCTCACTAATGACCAGCTACTAGATGGGATTCTCGGAGTTTTAGTGAGAAGCCGTGACCAATGGAGTTCAACTGTGTCGGGTGTAAGGCAGTTATCCATTAAAGACAATGGAATTTGTTCGCTTTGGTCCAGTGGTCTAAAGGTTGAACGTAAACACACAGGATCGAAGTCCTTGGGTTCAAATCTCGTGTATGGGATCATGGATTCGCACAACTTGGGAGTCCCATACTAGAATAAAAAGACCGTCCCGTGCATCTCCGTTTCTAATGGTAGTTTAACATTGGTCAGTTCATAATTCCAATTAGATTCAACAAAATTCACAACCTCAAATTAGAAATAAATTTAGTTACATTGTCGTAAAATTATGCGGTAAAAAATTGTCCGTTTCAAAAATTTCGGGGGGGGGGGTAATTTTTACTCTTTAAATTTTAGCAGAAAAATTATTTTCTAAAATCTTATTTCCATTAAAAAGAAAAGACTTTGACTGATTGTATTGATTCATTTACAGAAAAAGTTGGCTGAAGCAAACATTAGTACGGTAACTAGTCCATCAAAATACAAAACGGCATTTCTACTATAGTTTCAACCCATAGTCAAATTATCTGAATAGAATAGTTTTACATTCATAATCTCCAAACAACATAAGTTGATTAAACCGAGCATTCAATTTGTAAGCAATTTTCCCCCTTTTAAATCTCAAATCAGTTTATAGTTTTATTCAAAAAATCGGTTTCATCACTTGTGCCTGTATCAGTTTTTAACATTAAATTTATAAACTTGATATTTAAAAGACTCCTCGAAAGTTTATCTCTGGTAAATCACCTACTTATTAGTAGTATATATTTTAACACAAATATTTCAGATGCTTTAAACTATTTTGCAAGTAGAATGTTACGGTAATATTTTACTTCTGATAATAAAACTTTTTTTTCAAGATTGGAAGTTCATTGGAATATGAAAGTAATCACATTTTTGGAATTATGAAATTATAAAAGTAAAGTGTAACCTTAGAATACCAACCATTTTATAAGCAAAGTTGAGTAGCGTCTAGCATTGGAATACAGGAATCGCGTGTCGCTCTATTTAGAGCAGATTTACCTGGTGTCAATTGTCTTACTGTGAATCAAACTCAATACCGTCCTCTTCAAATCTTATATGCTTCTGCTCACTTGTTGTTTGAATACCATGGAAAACCTGGAAACACTGGATGGTTGTTTCGTCCTAGTATGGGACTCCTCAGTAGTACATAATTGTTTACACTTTTTCAAGTTTAACACCTAGTGATATTAATTAATGAATTAGAAATAATATTTAATTGACAAATCGTTTTATATATACTTACCACGTTGTAAAATTCCTTCTAATCCATGAATTAATGGTAAATTTGATGATTTTCTATGAGTACGATATAATAAATTAACTGCAGAACAATTCCATTGTTCATGTTTAAATTGATGTATACATTCATTCATACTTAAATGTGTACCTTCAAGCATTGCCCATATTAAACCAGTATGTTGTAAACAAATATAACGTTGACGATTAGTTAAACCAGATAATATATGACATATACCTGTTTCATGTATTGATAAATCATTATCTTTTGTAAGATAAGATTGACCAGTAACTAATTGATTCAATTCATTATGATAGGATGAGGGATGTAAAATATTTTCCTTTTGATTTAAATAGATGATTTCAGAGTTACTCACTTGATTTGATTTATAATCTGATGAATCTATCCAATTTGAAGGATTGATTATATTATTGTAGTCAAGTGAATTTGTTAGATGATGCATCGGTTTCATATTCATATATGAAGGTGAATTCAACTTTTTCAAATGACTTAACATTAATAAATCAAAAACCCTGAAGATCAATTCAAAATAAACATGATTGATATCATAATCAGAGAAGGATATTTATGGATATTATAATGAATAAATAATTGAATTCATGAGTTTATTGAAGTTAGACCATCATGGATATCCTGGAAGTACTGAACAGCCATTTCGTTCTAGTATGGAACTCTTCAGTAGTACGCATCCACGATCTTGTCATGCGAGATTCTAATCGAAGATTCAGTGGTTTCAGATTTTTCATAATGCTCTAGCTTCATTTGACTCATGAATTCAACTATTAAATTTATATAATAGTTTACATCATTATATGTTTATTCACAATCATATGTGATTACTTTATAAGAAAGAATGGTATAACATACAAAATCTATCAATTAACATGGAAGAAGAATAATAATTCTAGAAGATGATAATCAGATAAATAAATGCTACCAACTATTTAAACAACACAACAAATTGTTGACTTATGTTACATGTTTAAAGATAACGGTTAACATAATTTGAGTTCCAGAGTGAACAATAACTTTGAGATGGAGGCACATTCAACTGACGAGTCACAAACAGGATGAAACACAAGTCCTAAATTCCACTGCTAGCCACTATCCATCTTTGATTCCATTGATATCATCGAGATATTGCAAAAAATGTGAAGAGTGTCCACTTAATAACCAGGACCAAATGAGAGTTAGCAACATGTGTGAGGATTTCGAATTATGATTTACAGTTGGTGGTTAAAGTTAGGAATTACATTTAAGGTTTTCATCACGAACTGACATCGGCTATAATGCCAAAACATCTATTTAGCCAAATAGATGAGTAAATTTCGCTCCAAAATTCGATACCTATGTATCTTATACGTGATTAGTTCGTCCATAAATAATACTCTTGCCGTTGTCGTCTAACTAATTTTTGTGGCCTGATATCTTACTCCAATTCAACAGTATGAATGATTGTTATCGAACCATATACATGTCGCTAATCCTCATATATAATTATCGACTTAATTTGTGTTGGTGAATAACGAGATTAAAATAAATCAATTACGAGAATGAAGTTTTGAATGTGTATGCTTTGTACAGTCGTTGACAGACAATCAAAGAAATGGAACATAAGAAGCGAAAAAGAGAGAATGAAGCGAAATGGATTAGAGAACGCATGTTAGCCAATTCATTCTAATTAAGCATTATTCAATAATTATAGTCAAGTCGAATCAAGGCAAAACGAGAGGGAAGTAAAGATTAAGCGACGTGAAGTGACACGAATAGTCAAAAACGTCAAAGTGTGATTCAAGAAGAATGAATCAATTGATCTACCCAAAAGTTAGAATAACCAATGTGGGCTCAACATACAACCAGACACTACACTATCTTCGATTGATAAAAGTTATTTTAAAACACTTATAAATGTCAATATTCCATATTATACTGGCATTTGACTATTTGACTACTTCAATGACAGTTAAACTGTTAATATTCATAACCTTTAAAAGTTATGCTTATCAACACTGAAATACTCTAAACGTTTTAAGTATCTTCATACATTGACAATGTTCAAATAAACCTGTCGAATTCTGTATTGATATTAGCAAAGAATATAAAAGTTTACCTTATAGGAGTTTCATGAACTAGTAATATCTGGTAACAGTAAATTAAAGTCAATCAAATTAAGCTAATGAGATAATTATAGACAAGTGGATAGTATTGACAGTAACATAGAAAAATAAAGGTTTTCTGAAGAGTTGTTAGGATGTGCAGAAAAATATACCAATAATTATCGTGTTAAGTCTAATGGTGTCCTTGGACGTTAAGTGAACATTGGTCGATATTTATTTCACTTGTCGAATATTGCACAAATGTTGTTTTCAATTTTATGATACGATGTGGTCTGGTTGATTGGTATATAAATAGAGTATGTCTGAAATATAATGGTTCATATCTCAGAGGCTAAGACTGGCGTTCCGGACTGAACTGGCTGGGCTAGACAGGGAAGCGGGACCAATCGAGACTCTAGGCCGTCCGTACGTGTTTTTCGTGTCATTGAATCGATCGATAAATACGCTGCTCTCTAATCTTACAGTCAAGGACACAACAATTGGCACGGGGTAAAAAGCGATCCAAGTTTAAAGTCACAACAAGGATATTATCAGTCAGTCAGCTACAACGTGGGACTAGGCACATATATACATCGGTTCAAGTTGCCATACCTCATTAGCACAACATGATGAACACCAACTTCATAGAAGTAGTTAATCCAATGGTGGTAATATATAAAAGAAGGATTGCATATAAGGATATAGTACTGTTGCTGTTACTTTGACGTGGTGGTCGAGCTTTCCTATCGTGATGAACCAATCGAGCTATATTTGTTGGAACAATCGTTCCTCAAGGTCCTACCATGCCAGACAGGTCGGCTAAAGAACGGCAAGACTATAAACAGAAAACTCAAGGTGCGAAGGCGAAGTCGTATTGCTGACTTTACAGAGGTGTGACAGCAGTAAGGTGTTTCCTTCAGAAAACCAACGTAACAGCGATGCTGTCTTAACACAAAGAGGGGTGCGGTTAGAAAAGGTTGACCCTAAAAATGAACGTCATGCCTTGTCCCACGGGTATCCGTCTCCGGAGATGAGGTCTCAACTACAACGGAGCTAACACGAGAACTACTCACAGAAAGGTGGTGCGTGACCGACCTCAAGCAGTTGTCTCTTGGGCACTGCGGTCACGCTCTCAGGTCACTATGACCACCGCTAACCCGATTTCCTTTTCAGGCACCTCCAGAAAAACCCTTCCTCGATGTGTGGTCAACCGAGAAGTGATAACTGCCCTCATATCTCTAACGGCGCTCAAGAAGAGTATTATACATAACATTTAACTCAAGTATTATTAAACAAAGTAGCATTTAGTAAATTAATATGCTTTTTATTAATTACGAGATATGAGGTTCGAACGATTGGAAGGACTTGTGAACACGTATTTCAATATATGATTGTATATCATTTAAACTTACTTACACCTGTTACCCGTCACGGAGGAGCATAGGCCGCTTACTGGCATTCTCCATTCACTCCGCCTGTAGCTCTTCTAAATCTACTTCCGGTCTCAAGCCCGGGTAAAGAAGGAGGGTTTGGAATGGAGTTGTCAACCTCATCCTATAGAGAACAATCTTGCTAAAAAAAGACTCTAACTAGAATATCATTTAAAGCACTAATTAAAATACGCATTCTATCTCATTGTAGAATTAATCTAATTAGATGTATAGTTTCATTTGATTGATCACTGGGTGGTGATCAATGTTACGTGTGTCAAGTCCTTATTTAGTGCAGATCAGATGCTACCGATAGCTCAGTGGTAACGTCTCTAACTGTGAAGCTGGTGGACACGGGATCGAATCCACCAAAGAGCACTAGTTCCCTCAAGATTACAGGTACACCTTGCTGACGAGTGCCAAGTAGCACGAAACCCAAGTACAGGGTTTCCTGTCGACTACCTCCATTCAACATCCAATCTCAGATGTGTAGTCTAAATAAAATTGTATGTTGAATATATGCATAAATGAAGGTCAGTAAATTAGACTAGATCAATCTTATTTCTAATCAAAATACATTCCCCCTCCTTCCCGCTTCTAACGATACATTTATAAAATACACTCAATGATATTTAGATCAAATTTAGTTACTCCCTAGGAAACAGAATATATAGATAATCTAATATGATAATGATATGAATTATGTTCAAAATTAAACGTTGTTGTCATGTAAAGATGAATACAGTGAAAATACTATTTAAAAAATGACAACCTTTAATGATAATGCCTCATTAGTAAAGTTATATACATAAGGAATTCAGAATGATACATTTAATAAGAGGCAGGCCCTAACTTGGAATTCTGAAGGTAAGCGAAAGAGAGGAAAGCCAAAGAGCACACTACGTCGGGAAATAGAAGCAGATATGAAAAGGATGAACAACAACTGGAAGGAGCTGGAAAGGATTGCACAGGACAGGGTTGGATGAAGAATGCTAGTGAGCAGCCTATGCTCCTTCACGAGGAGTAACAGGTGTAAGTAAGTAAGTAAGTATATACAACTAAAACAAAGAATAAAACGTAACATAATAAGATCAATGATTCTTTACAGTGGGGATTCAAACTACTCTCATTATCATGGTTTGGATTATTCTGTTGTTGATATTTCGACTAAAATGTGATTCTTCTTAATTGTTATATGTGATTTGTATGGGGATTGCCTCAATATAGCTAGTATGATGATGCCCATATAAAATAATGAAGGTAAATCTATCTAAGCAGTATTAAATGAGATGAAACGCGTGTTCTGCATTCCACTGCTAACTACATTTAATTTATTCTTCATAAACATATTATAATTATCAGAAGGGGTTTTATGGATATTTTAATAATTTCAATAGTTGAGATCGTGAGTCAGTTGAAGCTAGACAACCATCGAAAACCTCGAAGCACTGGACGGCCGTTTCGTCCTAGTATTGGACTCCTCAGCGGTGCGCATTCACGATACCGCCCCCCCGAGAGATTCGAACCCAGGACCTGTCAGTCTTGTGTTATCGAGACAATCTGCACATGATATCTGGACTAAGCGTATAAGTAGATAACGTGTTGGAGTTTGAAGAAGACAGTACTAAATTTCAGTCTCGGAATGAAAATCAACTCAAGGATACAAACAAATCTAACTGGCAAACCCCAAACGGAACCAAATGCACATCCTTGATTTCACTGATAGTCACATTCAATATATTATATATACTCAAATTGGCTAAAGCTCTTATAGGGTTGCTGCCGGTCCCAAGCCCGGGTAAAGGAGGAGGGTTGGGCATGGGGTTAGCGTCCCCATCCCGTAGAAAACTAACTCGCTAAAAAAACGCTTACCAGAAAAAATAATCCAAACCATTTTAACTCTGCCCTGGGAGTTAGAAGGTCTTCATTTAGAAGAATTATGACGCTTCATGGTGAAAGCCGAGTTCCTT